AATTTTTTGTCGCCATGCCATTGTTACGATGTAGGTGCACAAATCAGCATTTAAACTGCTTTCGATAGGCAATTATGGATAGCATTACCAAAAACTTTGGCAAGAGGGGGTAAGAATTCGTTCTATGTAAAGGAAAAGGTTGACATGGATAGCATTAGCAAAACTTTGGCAAGAGGGCTAAGAATTTGTTCTATGTAAAAGAAAAAGATGACATGGATAGCATTAGCAAAAACTTCAGTTAACATTGGTATCAATAAATTGAAGTAGTGTAGCACTTACTTGCTATAGTCAGTATTAAAGACCACATGACACCAAAATATAACCTTATCTAATTCTGTATCTGTATTTGTTTAGATGGTATAGCTGCCTCTCGGCGTAACACACCAGCTTCGCAGGCATGCGGCGCGGCGGCAGCTGGCTACATTACACCAAACGACTTGTTACACCTATTTTATTACTATTGTTCATAACAATAAAATGGCTATAGTTATACATAGTGGTCATGAGGGTTATGTATCGTTATGAATAATAGCCAAAAGTCATATATATGGTATAATAGGTAAAAATTAATATGCATAATTATATATAATAACCAAAATGGATATGCATAGTTATATATAATGGTTAAAAGGGATATGCATAATTATGTATAATGGTTAAAAGGATATACATAATTATGTATAATGATCAAGAGGAATATACATAATTATGTATAATGATCAAGAGGGATATACATAATTATGTATAATGATCAAAAGGGATATACATAATTATGTATAATGGAAAAACTAATATGTATAATCATACATGATTATAGATAAATATAGTATAATCATGTATAATTATGTATAATTGGACTATACCCTAGGGACTAATTAACACACTCCACATATTTGTCACCTTCTACTATGTACTCAGAAAAAATATAAACCTAATTGGGTAAAGCAATTCAGAGTTATTAGCGAGGAGTCCATAATTAAAGTGTTTTTCCATAATTAAAGTGCTGCTTGTTTTAAATTAAAATTCAACCATAACCAATAGCATAGAATTCAACCAATAGAATTCAACCTCTAAAACCCAGAGTTGTTTTTCTCCTGAGTGTTTGTAAACTTAGTGTTGTCCTCACCTTACTCTTCCCCAGCTCAACTTGCACCATGTCATGAGCTGAAGGATCACAGAAAACTGCAGGAAACACCTTCATACCTGGTTCCACCTGCAATGGACCATGGGACAGGCAGTTATTGGTATGGTTACATGTACATGTACAATGTCATGTAAACACAAGATTAAGGATGCCAACTGTGACATTACGTTATGTAACTGGCAAATATCTTGACAAGACTAGTACACTTCCATAATTGATTGTTCCTGGTGCATGCATGTAGTTCTAGGTGGGGTAAGAATCAATTTTTGTCCACTAACAAATTAGTACATCTAGGTTCTGAAGGTATAATAATTATAATGATTGACCTGGAAGGTGGTTGTGAGCTCTTTGCCATAGGCAGAGAAGGACAGAACTCCAGTGGCCACGTTAGCCATGCAGCCAATGACGAGACCTCGCTTAGCTCCCTCTGGGCCCATGGCTGCCGCGTAGTCACCAGCACAGATCATAAAGCAGTTCTGCCGGGTAATTCTGTCCAATGGTAAAAATCCTTATATATAAATTAACCAACAATTCCAAATAAATAAGTTGAATCCAAAGAAGAAATTATTCAAGGAAAGCATATTCCACTCCATCTCCTTCCCCATTCCAAAATGGACTGTACAATATCAACCTTTTCCAAGTAGTGCTCCTTATTATTAAGTGTTTCAATACCCCCCCATGTAGTGAGTTATACAGTGCTTCATAGTTACAATTCTTCTCGAAACCCTTATACAGTGCTTTTGAGTAAAAGATATGAAAAAAGATAAAAGATATGGTTTTCAATAAGTGTGTTATCAAAATCCCCTACAGCTAGTGCTTTTTATTATAATTCTTGAAACCCCCATGTGGTGCTTTTTAGTAAATGTGTTCTACATCGTAGAAACCCTCATTTTAAAAGTCCTTTTTAGTAAAAAGTGTTTTCAAAATCCGAAGTTTGATGTTTTGATGTTTTATTAGAAATCCATTAGATTAGAATGATTAAACATCTAACCTATTCTTCCTGGATTCATAATATACATAGTCATTACAAATTCACAATACGTATTTACAAATTAAGATGATAACATACATGTAACATATTCATGACACTTAACATAACATAACTAGCATACAACAGTACAGAGCATTTAAAAGTAACTAAGGCCACACCGACTTGATGTTATGGATGACATCCGCGCCCGCACTGATTTTCGCCTGTCTCTAGGCCTGGGTACTCCATAATAGTTAGCGACAACGTGGAGCCGGAGGATGGCACCCAGGCTACCGAAGCTCCACAACTCAAGAACTCAGTACATACGTACAGTGCCGACTCATAAATCCCCCAAAAAGCCGGCGTGCGCTGTCTTGTCATATAGGAGTACGGCTCTAGTATGTACTGCCACAAATTCACAATACCAGCTTTGTATTCGTGTTGTTTAGTAGCAGTTTTATTTTTGGCCGGAATTTTTTTTTTTTATGCGTGCACTAGTTTAGGGGTCTTCAGAGGATGTCATCCATAAAATTAAGTCGGTGTGGCCTAATACTTAGCAGCACGCAACAATTAAGGATTGTTTTTTGGAAGTCAGAGGTCAGATTACAATGTTATAGTATTTAGCACCTAGCTAGTGCATGTACATTACCACCAGTGCTTTAAGGGTTGGTTTAAACTTTTATCTATCTTGTATGACAACATATCATTTATGGATTTTTATGTAGATACCTATGGGGTCATGAATTGATGTTGCACAACTGTGATGTGCAAGTGGGCTTCTATCACGTGGTGAGCACGGGCGGGGCACGACCTGTCTTAGCCAATCACAGTGTAAGCTTGATCCGCCCCAGCCAATCGTAGTGCAGATCTAAACGTGCTCTTTTGGACTAATTTTTTGGTAAGTTGTTCGAACCTTTTTGAAACAAATTTTTATTTTGAGGCTAACGCCTTCAGGATGGCCTCCCGGGGGCTTTTTACCGTAGTCAGAGAAATGGAAGCCATCTTGTTGAAAGATTAAGTTCAAACATGAGATTCATGGGGGTCTATATGACCCGTAGTTGATCTTTTGTGTTTGTTTGTTTGTTTGTTTGTTTGTTTGTTAGAAAAAAGGATCACAGAGATTCTATTGTAATCCAGACCAAACTGATTTAGTAAAAAAACAACAGAATACGCATGTTCATTTCTCTACAACAATGTACAAATGTATCTCTGACGAAGGCATGAGATCTCCGACCTCTACTTGAGTTTCGGGGAAAAGTAAAAACATGGTTTTTCGAAAAAAACGGCAAAGATAATAACGAAGATTGCTTTGTTATTAGAAAAACTACTGGAACTCGTGATTAGCCCCACACTTTTAACAAAGGCCTGTGCTAGCCCTTATTGTTTAAGCAATTAGGATATGTTAGGTTTTATTCTACATCAGGCCTTATTCAACACATATTTTACTTGTTTGTTATTTTTGTAGTTTGCCATACATTGTACCATGTGCAAGTGTCATACAATAAAGTTCTTCTTCATATGTAATGCATTGAATAATGGTCAACTGGCATTACACACAGTTCCAATGAAGAGAGACTGCAAAATGTTGGCATTGTAATATATTAGAGAAGAAGACAAAAAGAAGACCTACGTCTCATAGACATTGCCATGCTCGTCACCCATGGTGCAGGTAACTTGTCTGATCTTCAGAGGATCAAAATCTCTCTCGTACTGGTGAAAGTCAGTTGTACAGTAGCCCACGTACACCTGATTTGGGTCCTGTTGTGGGAAAATCCTGACAGCCCAGTAGTATGTGGTAACCTACAGGAAATGACAGGGATAAACACTACAGCCAAGAAAAGCCAGCTAGTACCTGACTAGTATAATTATACTATTATATAATGATGCATATGTATAGTACTTGAACAGTGCAACAGGGTGCAACGGGGTATCTCAGAAATCTTGGTGTTAGGATTTCCTTTATACTTTTCTTGATTATACATGTACATACCGTAAGGTATTTTTCTTTCCTACAATATCGTTTTGGTAGCTAATTCTGGGTGATGGGTTCAATTGCACAATGCAAATTTTTTGTATAATTTTTCATTGCAAAATCCTTTTATCCCGTAACATTTATTAACTTATGCAGCTCAGATATGAGAGGTTAAGGAAAGTAAAATTCTGCTGTTCTTGTACATGTAACGTTGCATATTGTAGCTACTAAGAGAGATATCCTTTGTGGATTCCCATCCACAGTACACTGGGTGCCATCCATTTTGTAACGGGACTCCTTTGCACTCGCTAGCCCCCAAAAAACAGAGTAGCGAGTGCAAAGGAGCCTGGGTACAAAACAGATGGCACCCAGGCTACACACAGTGCTTTTTCTTCAATCAGATTATTTCCTGAAAGAGACGGTTGCTAAACTTGAGGGTGTGAAGAATCAAAACCCAAAACAAACTGGGGTGTGCTTGCTTAATCTCCAAGCAAGTATGAAGCCAATCCAGCTAAATCCAGACAAATGCAACTGAAAACTAGAGTTTGTGAAACACAAGCCTTCGTCAGGCACATTTATTTTTAGTGTTACTTGGTGTAAACTTTAAAGTTGTTATGTTTAACAAAAGGGTTATTTTTTGTAGGCGTTTGTGTGTTTGGTGTGTGTGTCTGCCGTTTGTCAGATTGTGATGACGATAAGTTGAAATGGCTTTGTGGCATTTGGAGGTAAATTGAAGGAATGTCATACTTGGGGTAGTGGGAAGTTAAGTGAACTAGTATTCTTTGGTTTTTGAGTACTGATGCCACATACTATTAGATTCTTGTCTTTGAGCCATAATCTGATCACACATCTATGTACATCAGTCTGATTTCTTACAGACTACAACTTGCAATGTTTAAGTTTGAGAGACAATTGTATCACTATAATCAATAGGGTTCTCCTCAGTGCAGCACCCCAAGCGACATGACTATATTTCATCCATACCATGATATGGACTATAGAAAGGCCGACATTTGCTCAGGAGCAAAAACAGCATATTTCAGTCCATCTTCCTCCTCATTCCAAATGGACTATTCCATTGCAACCTTTTCCATCCAGTTTCAAGTGTTTCAATACCCAAAGTCTGTACTGCAAAAATGAAGCATTCCAAGATCTGATCTGATCCCACAATGCAAGATTTTTAAGAATGGACTTTTCAAAAGATACAAATGTACGTTTACCTGGTGCAATATGGAGAGCCCAGTCCGAAATAGAATTTCCCGAATAGACTTCAGATGCAAGAAGGGAATCTTCCCATGCCCATGCAAAATGTACCATTCCAGAATTGTCTTTGCCTGGACTTTTCCAAGATCACCCGAGTCCAATGCACATTCCCCATTTTGAAAAATTGACTCCAAATTTATATCTGGGCAAGATTACTCATTCCAAGATCATCTCAAATTTGACCCCCATGCCAAAATTCAGGTCTCTTCGTCCAAAAAAGAAAGTTAAGTCCATTTGTACCAAGTCTGGCTTCCTGTCCAGTCAACAACTGCTTGTATTCCTAGAAGCTAAAAAAAGTTAATTGATATTAGACCTTAAGAAGCAATTAATTCAGTGTTCCAGATTCAAAACCCTGACTACAACAGTTACTGTAGATGCATGTGGGTAATACCACAGCATCCCACCTATACAGTATTTGTACCCTAAGGCTTTCATTTTCATTCAAAGAAAACCTTTTTTCAAGTGCCACCCTCAGTCCGTTTCATAGCTTTTGTCAAGAAAGGTATGTTTTCAGTTATGACCACAGCTGATCACTATAAGCCTGGTGGAGCAGCTGTGGTGTGGGTCTGTACATGTATGTACATCATAACTTGAGTATTTGTGCATTTGTCAATAATTTTTTGTATGTATACAGCATAACTCGAAAATTTGTGAATGGATCTTAAATGATACTTGGTAGGTGAGCAACAGTTATTGAAACAAAGTTTAAGTTCAAAATGGTTATCCTATCATGTTCTTATGCTGTTGAAGAGAGTACTTTTGGGTTTTTGTATACAACATAACTCGAGGAAACATGGATGGTTATTAATAATATTTATTGGTTAAGAAGGGATAGGAAAGATGCAGGTCAAGTTCGATAATGGGCCTCCTAGTGGCTGTTTTAGGTATTGTAGCACAAAGTTTGAGGTAAAACTTTCCACAAGTGTCAGGTGAATGATTTTTGAGTAGTGGATAGCTGTTGGAGATGGGAGCAAATTGTGTGATTTGGGGACTTCTAGCAGCTTGTTTGGAACTGTAGTGGATGTTTTCCTTTTTTAAATTCTTAGTCTGTAATTCTGTTCTTTGTGAATGAAATTCATTTTTATATGTCTAGACTTTATGTAATGATTAACATATACAGATGTACGTAGTTGGCCCAATAACCTTTCCCTCACAGTTCACACCAGTTGAACATGCTAGTATAATGTCACAGAATCAACTTAACGAATGACAAATGCACAGGGAGAAACATAAGCTTTTAATAGTCCATTTCATCCGTCCATTGGCAACAACAATGACTACATTTTTAAATGTTAAAACAATATAAAAACAAAATATCTACACCTGACGAAATCACGTGTTTCACAAACTCTGAAAAAAAAATTTGTGCCAAAGAAAACTGTGCCTTACTTTGCTCCAGTCAGGTTCTTCCTCCTCAGGTTCAGCTGGTGTTGCAGGTGATTCAGGCTCCATGATGACAGAGGCTGGTCTCTTTCTCTTCAAGAGGGTATCAAGGGGTTTCTTCTTCGGCTTCTTTTCCTTGGAGGTGTCCAGTTCCCCCATCCTCTCTAGAGACTTCTCTGCCAACATCTTGAGCCTGTCCCTCTCTGTCATGTCATCCTTGAACTTGGGTTTCTCTTCACTAAACTGTCCTTCTTTGCTCTTAACAAGAGCTTCAAAATCGGTATCAACTGAAAAAAGCAGAGAAGTTCATATACACAGTGAATGTCTTGAAGGAAGAGCAGTGATGTTTACAATGTATGTAAACTAGTAATAATGTAGTAGTCACTGTAGTAATAATAATGAAGTATAATAAAATAATACAAACAAAATTGCCTTCAAGCCACACCATCTTAATTTGTTGGTTCTCAGATTTGCTTCTTAATCTTGTTCTGATGTGCAAAAAAAGATTCTGATTCTGAATCAACTCAAGAATGCTCATATTTTGCCCCCAACAGTTGAGGAAAGTCCTTTTCTTCCTAGTTGTTGCAGTTTTTCCATCTATCAATGCAGTGGTTTGATTAAAAGTTCAAAATTTGTTGTTACCTTCGCCAAGAAGGTTATGTTTTCAGAGGCGTTCGTGTGTGTGTCTGTCTGTGTGTCTATCTGTAAACACGATAACTCGAGAAGGTTTTAATGGTTTGTCTTCATACTTGGTAGGTGGGTAGGTCTTGATGAGACCTAGAAATGATTAGATTTTGGGCCCCCTGGCAGCTTGTTGTGGTACTGCAGCGGAACAGTTTTGATATTTCATGATCTAGACATGCTAGGGTCACGAAATTTGGATGGTAGGTAGCTCTTGTGCTGGGGAAGGTAGCTTCTCCTCCTCCTCCTGCCATTTCTTTAAATGGATTCAATTTCTTCACTTTTGATCTGAATGACATCAAATTTGGCATGAAGGTGGAACCCTGGTACTAAAATCAAATCACCTGCAATTTGGTATGGGGATATCTTGGATATATGTCTACAAAATTCATTCAAGCTTTGACATACACCACTTTAAAATTGTGAAAAATCGGGCTTATTGGCTATTTTCAGAAAATAAAATGTATATTTTTTGCTCCTATGCCCTAATATTAAATCCTAACTAGAGGTCGGAGATCTCATGTCTTCGTCAGAGGTACATCGGTCTAGAGAAATTAACATGCGTATTCTTCACTCTTTTTAATAATCAATTTGGTCTAAAGAACAAAAGAATCTCTGTACTATTTTTATGGTACAGAACACCCTGAAACGGTTTGCCGCAGATTATACAGATGCGTCGTCACCCGTGTTAGCCCCCCCCCCTACATTATTTGAGTTTGGACTGTTACTGGAAAAAAAAACGTTCAAGAAATTCTTACTGTGTTGAAAGTGTCACGACAGTGCCGCAAAATATAATAAGAGAAGATGTTATAAAGGAAAGAATCAGAACAGGGTGACTACTGGCTGCTGTTTTGTTAATTTGTCTTTATGACAAATAGAAGACTTGTGTTCTTTGTGTCCTAACATTTGTACTTCTACAGTTAGTATATTCCAAATCTAGGCATCTCATTTTTCGGCCCTTCGTGTTTTTACGGCGCGCTTGCCTTAAATTTAAGGTAATTAGATTTAAGGTCTCCAGTGGACGTCATCCATAGCAATTACTTGGTGTGGCCGTAGAAAATAACCTGACATATGTCCAACCTATCCTCCCCCTGCTGAAGTTATAGTACAATCCCTCAATGTAACGTCATTTGATCCCATCCCATTATGGGGTTCCCCGGCTATATCCAGCTGTCGGCTGTCTCCAAGCAGATGTAGGTGGGGGATAAACACAAAAGGTCCTATTACGGGGACATAACGACCTCCACGACTCTCATCTTTGAACTCAATCTTGGAGACCACCACAGTAACATGCCTACTAAATTTCATTAACTTCCATCCACACATACAAAAGTTATCCTGCTCACAAGAAAAATTAACAAAATGCCCCCTGTAGTCACAACGAAACCCCCCACGAAGCTCAGTAACAAACTTAACCTTGGTCCCGACAATAGTAAGCACCACACCAAGAATTATAATCAACATTTTACAAATACTTGAGTTATCTTGCTAACAAGCCACAAACACAAAAGGTGCACTAACGTGACGCACGGACCCCCCACGAAGCCGAAACTTGTACTTGACTTTGGCCTCAACAGCGGTAATCTGCCTGCCAAAAATCATGGACGTCGAATCATGCCTTCCAGACTTATAACGCAAAATCCGCAGTTCCCCACACTCCGGCGAGACAATTTCATAGTCCTTCTGACGAAGACAATAACCCAAAATTCAGTATGGGGATACCTTGGACACATGTCCAAAGAATGTCATTCAAGCTTTTGACATACACCACTTTAAAATTGTGTAAAATAGTTTGGACCAAAAATGTACATTTTTGTTTCCTGTGCCCTAATATTAAAACCAAAAGCCCTCAAAATTTGGTATGGGAGACTGTCGCATACAAGCCCACAGAATATTGGTGTGTGTCACTTAAAAATTATGTAAAATGGGCTCCTGTGTGCTAATACATACTGTAAACCAAATAACCTAAAATTAAGCATAAGGGTAGCTTGGCACCAAATGCTTAGACTATAGTGTTCTCAATTCTTTTTCCACACTACAAGCTACCTACAAAAAACATCAAAAGTTAACCAGTCTAGTCACAATCACGTGACTACAGCAGCTCCAAAAAAGTGATCAATCATTATCAATCAATGGTTTATTGTGGCGGCTCAAAACAACCATACAGCGGCAGCTTTTTAGCTGAATTATAGTATGGCATTACAAAGAGAGTATTTACATTAAGTTTTAATTTATACTATTAATACTTAATTAATACATTCAACTTAAAATGCCTTACGTTAGGCATACACATATTAAAACCATTTCGTTAATTTGTTAAAACATATAAATACAACAATCAGGTAGATGGGCAATGCCTGTATGTGATATGTCTCAATAAGTAGTTCAACCAGGAAAGGCTGTGTAGTCTTGCGATACCTCTCAGTTCTACATTTGAATTGAGTTACATATTTACATTATATATGATGATAGCTATTTCACTGAAAACTACACCAGATACTTACTGCCCAAGCATCTACATGTATGTCCCACTTACATGTAAAAATCAAGACCATAGCATGTCCACAGCATGAGATACCATACCCATGTACCCTGCTGCAGTACCTTACAAAAACCGCTAGAGTACCCAAAATTGACATTGACCCTCCTTTTCCCAACCTTCCCTACCAAATGTCATAAAGATACATGTACATGCACCACACCTCAAGTTATAACCAATTACAAAATCAGCAACCCCTATGTATGGTGTACCTTCTGACAAAGGTAACTAACATCATTCTGCAGGCTGTAAAATATGGATATCTACATTGTAATTGACTGATAATGGTTTAGGAGTGGAAAGGGATTTTTCCTTGATTAGCAGATGACAAAGTAAAACATTGTTCCTATTGGTTCAACATAAGTGTGGTGCTTTTCCTACTTACCTTTGTCAAGAATGGGATCAAACTCCTCTTCAGTCCTGACTCGTGGTCTGGTGAACCTGTCCCTCATTTTCACTGGCAGGCTGAGCCGCATGTACACAAAGTTTGGCTCATCCTGCTTGGTGCTGATCTTCTTGTGCACCACTTTCAGGGAAGGTGGTGCTTTGGCACTGACAATCAAGAAGATAACAGGTGAGAAAAGAAGCAGGTACAATCATGGGATCAACAGAAAGGAGCGACACATTTAAATTACTTGAGGGATCCAGGTACATTGTAGATTAGACTGAGCTGTACAATGTACACAATCAGATGCAAACAATTTCATAATTAACTAGAATTCCGAGATCTCATACCTCCATGAAATATGATCTTGATATGTAAGTGTAAATTTCTTCTTTAATTGTGCAAATAGACCTCTGCATTAACATGATATATGCATCGTGATGTATGTTAACTTTTGATTAACTTACAGATGTCCCAAGTATGACATTCTCATCATTCACCATTACGAAATCATAGAATTCCGCATTAATTATGCAAATTAGGTCATCATTTGCATAATTAGTATCTGTTGAAGTTCCGCCTGCCATAGGTTACATACATTACATGTATGTAAGTAGTATAATGCAAAACACTGTAATTATAGAATTTCCTCATTAATTATGCAAATAAAGTCCTCATTTGCATAATTTGCATTTAATTATGTACATCTCTCTCTCAGCTACCTACACACCAAAAATAATGAAAATATGTTGTTCCTGTCTGGACTTATTGGCTTTTGAACATTTCGCCAGAAAGTGCCCTGCAGTTCCAGAACAAGCCGCTAGGGGGCCCAAACTCATATGACTTCTTCCCAAGCACGAGAGCTACCTTCCATGAAAATTTCATGACCCTAGCATGTCCAGATCGCGAGATATAAAAACCGGAAGTTGCGCTGCAGTACCAAGGGAAGCCACTAGGGGGACCAAAATCTAATCATTTCCAGTTTTCGTCACACCCTACCAACACACCAAGTATGAAACCAATCCATCCAGGCGTTCTTGAGTTATCTTGTTGACCAACAGACGGACGGACAGACGGACAGACGGACGGACAGATAAACGCAACTGAAAATATAACCTCCATGACACATTTCATGGAGGTAATGAAATAAAAGCCCATTATATAATACAACTTCAATATGTTTCTGGCAGGTGAAACATAACCAATACTAATTATGTAAATAAGGGACCACAATTAGCTCCTAATTTCCATAATTGTCATCTAATTCTGTCAAGCCATAAACTATCAACTGGTTCTTGAGTTATCGTCCTTCGAAAATTTTTCGAACACACACTCCTGCAGTTCCAGCACAAGCCACTAGGTGGCCCAAACTCAAGTCACTTCTGGTGGTCACACTGGTCCAAGAGCTACATGTATCTACCATCCCAAATTTGTGACCCTGGCATGTCCAAATCACGAGATATCAAAACTGAAAGTTCTGCTGCAGTACCTAGAAAAGCCGCCAGGGGGCCCAAAATCTAATCATTTCTAGGTCTCATCAAGACGTACCCACCTACATTGTACCAAGTTTCATGGCAATGCATACAAAGCTTCTTGAGTTATGCTGTTCACAAACTGACAAACGCTACTGAAAACATAACCTTCTTGGCGAAGGTAATAATAGGAGAAGAGAGTATGTTTGAGTATAACTAAAACCAGATTGACAGATTTGTTACAATGCTATGTTATGATGTTATGAAATAAGTTTACATAAATAATATCATACATACTATGTAGTGTTACAGGACAATCCTTCTGCAGTCTATTCTTTCTGCCACAAGATAACATTTCACCTCTAACGTTAGGCATATTTGTTGTATGACAAACTTGAGTGACACTTTAAAACATACCCAGGAGGAATCCTGATGACATCAATCTCATCATTACTGATGTTACTGAACAGTGGAAGATGATGGACTGTATACCACATAGTCATCGGCCTCTTCATGTTCCTGTAAGATATACATAATATTTGATACAAAGCATAATGACCAGATAATGAAATGGGCAGTACACGTATGTCCATTGGTCTAGGCTTCCTGCTGAGGCAACAATTGGTGAAAGTAGGTTTGGGTAGACAAAGACCTGGGAGATACATGATTGTACATTCAGTTTACGAGGGTAATGTACCACCATTAAAAACGTGTGCTTTTAAGTCACCACATCAGATATGTACAAAAAGAAGTGTTAAAATAAGTAACGTTACTGAAATTGACAAATTTCTTTGCTAACACACAATGTACTAACAATAAATGTGTATCCAAAGATGATACATGTACAAGACTTACACACAGAATGGTTCATAGCCCTCCTTCAGCCCATGTACTGTGAAAAACTTGAAAGTGGAGGCATCCTATGGACGGAAAAGTAACTTCAATCAAAGTACAGCCAATATTAAGAAAATAAACTATGTACTATGTAATGTACCTTTATTGGCGTTCTAGCTAGCGTGTTCTGTCTTTATGTCATGTGACAGAATTTTGCCACTCATGACAGACAAACATTTTGCCCAATCCGTCATTTTTGGCACACAAAAATTGGCAGCTACATGTACATGTAAGTCTAGCGAAATACTGTATGCCCCCCAAAAAACGCTTTACCCCCTAGGATTGTAGTGCTTTGGAACTCAATAATTATGATGTTATACAGTGTATAATATCCCCTTTTTAGGCCAATTTCTACTAATTATTCAGCCTGCAAAAGAAGTCTGGTGGAGACTAGCTTCACACATGCATCGGCTGGTGGGGCCCTTCCTGTGCTGTTTTTGACCGACATGTTTAAAATAGACCAGGGGGTGGTGTTGTGTCCCAAACTGTGCCCACAGTAAATCTATGTTCTGGGACACCTCAGGTAAATCTGGGGTAAATCTATGTTCTGGGACACACGGGGACTGCCCAGAACCGTACATGTACCAGTATGTACATGTACATGTACATGTATGATACAGCCATAATTGCACAAAAGCATACCGTGATTCAACTGCACACGAGAAATCTCACGATATCGTACAAGACTCTGCGTCATTCTCCAGTTCTTAATACAGCGCTGCCAGATACGTAATCCCCTATTCTGTTCCGTACTTTAGGGGTGGAGCTTAGTGATTTGAGGGAGGAACCTTCTTGTGGTGTTGTTTAGCTGTTTTTATGTTATAGGCTGCCATTTTTGTTTTTCACCAGGACAAGAATAAGAAAGAATCGGTGTAATTCTTGCTCTGTAAAGTATATTTTACATTTCACCCTGGTCTTAGATCTTTTAAAACCACATGTACATTGTAGTGTCACAGACAGAGTGGCTTGTATCAGTCTGCACCAAAATGAAACGATTCTATCAGTATGTAAGGCTTCACGCATTCGAGATGGTTAGATATTTGCGAACACAATCTTGGTACAACACGTGGTACATCCAACAAATTACAAAATAATGTAGATCGACCCGATCGGCGCCCACTATGAGTCCTGGATACAACTCTGTTTATCCACCATGAGGCACGGTTCTACATAGTCATGACGTGTATCCAGCACTGTGCCTAGAGCAAATCCATGTTCTTGGATAATCATGGAGTGTTTATCCAGAACCATTTCTGGATAGTGTACAGTGTACAGTGTACAGGGGCCCGAGTGTCCCTTCCGTGCTTGGGGCGTGACTGACAGCACTTCCGGGCACAGTTCTGGAGACAGTCCCATTCTGTGTCCGCTCAGGCACAAAGGGGACAGGCACGGTTTGGGACACAACAGGCAGGGCTTAGTGTTCGACCGGTAAGCTCTCTTTTCTACTGGAAGAAGTACTAGGTGCTGGGACAGCCATGAAGTCTCATACAACTTTGGCTTCTACAGCACATTTCAAACACATAACTGACTTCCAGTAGTGCAAACTTGAAGCAGTTCAACATACATGCCCAAGGTTTAGCCTGGCCTTCTCTCCCTTTGCAAGACTGCATGCTGGTACATAACCTATAAAGAAAGTTTGAAATACATGTCATGTTATGAAACCATACTGTGCAACTTGACATTTAAAGTCCTGATGACACATTATGATCATTATAATGTATTATATATTTTACATTACTAAGTTATGATCATTATACTACAAATGTATTATATATTTTACATTACTAAGTACATGTACTGTTAATGCATCATTACATCATTGTGTAACAGATACAGCAAACACAGATATGCATTCCTGGCTCCGCCTTAACACCTCAACCAACCACAACCGACCTAGCCTGGATGCCAGACCCATAGCATACTGGCCTGAAATTTTCCAGTGCGCAGGGGTCTGGTAGGAAGACCTACATGTAGGAGAGGTACATGTATAGGGAGGAGAAGCTGTGATTGATGGCCCCTCACACCACAGGTAGCCTGTTACAAGGTTACCTCGACATTAACATTTGACACTAACATTGGCGGCTCGACATTAACATTCAATATAGCAAACCTCGTTCTAAGGGGCACACAGCACAACGTAACTTTTTTTGCCAAAAGGATAATTTTTTATCCTATTTGACTACACAAACAATCAAATATATACTTGTAGGGAACAGATCTGCCCACGTTATACGTGTACCTGTATTTAACATCCTTCATATTTACATTTATGTGTAAGTAGTTATACATCTTTTAGGGACACCAGGCCATGAATAGTCATTCAAACATCAAAGCAGGGGAATAACTTCTGAAAAAATGGTAAATACTTAAGAATTACAGTGTTTTTGCTATTCATAATAATTATTATTGCACAATGTATCCAGAGCATTAGAGAGGGGTCTTAATGCATGTACACTGCATACATGTATTAGGCCTGGATGCAGTTGGTTGAGGTCGATTGTGGTGTATAGGCATACCCTGCATTCTTTTCTCCCATGTGATGTTACAGGTGCACTTAAAAGGTTTTTATCAACACAGCAACAAAATGATTAGCACCATGAAGAAAGGACAGACAGCATAAAGCAAGTTAGACCAATGTCTGTACTACTCACCCTGTCCAATTTCGATGTCCTTGAAAGCAACTTCCTGTCCATTTTTGTCTACCATCAGCTCACCATTGTAGGTAAAGCCTTGGTAAATTGAACACAGTTCAAGTTTTAGATAAAACCCATCAACAAAATACCCTTACAACAAAATACAAACTTTACAAATGAAGTTTACTGGATCTTACTGACTCTTTTATATCATATACACTATCTATGGCAATCACTCCTGATCTTTATTTGTAATCGGATACACTACACATACGTAATCACACAAAAATAGTTTGCTTGATTTTTAAACTCACAATATCTTTAATGTTGTGAAAAAACATTGCTAGACTTTGTGTATAGAATTATTTAAACATTAAAGCATCCAGCATACAAGGTATTGATGAGCAAACAATGTTTCCAGCTTGTATATGGACAATAGATGTTTGTATATCTTACTGATGTGTTTATCATTCAGATCCAGTAGACATCCCACTACATCACCAGGCCTCCAAGTACGGCCAAAACTTTCATGGTGGCCGTGCCATTTCAGCCCCTGTACAGATCACAACAATACATAAGAAGAAATCATGAATCAAAGTCCTGTATGGCTTGTGCTAACGTCATCTGGCTATTAAAATACCCTTCTGACAAACATCCCTTCCCTTCGTAAAATTTCACCACCAACAAAACATTAATTACATACTAGATGATTGTATTTTAATACTTTAAAAAGTATCTAAAAGATAAAATTTGTTATTCTGCTAATATAGATCAATTTTCATTTGAACATTTTAATTCAATCAATCAATCAATCAATCAATCTTTATTGCGCAACAATTGCAATGGATACAATGTATGGCAAGTGTTTAAATCAAAAGATAACAACAATACTAAAATCTACTTCTAGATACCTTATTCTAACGCTACCCTATAATTGTGAGTGATGAATTATACAATATATATGGAACATGGATACAATGTTAACATCAGTTCAAGGTGTCACAGATGATATTGTTTCTTTTCTGAAGAGCAGAGGATATGAATTGGCCTATATACAAGGATATTGGTTCAGGACATGACATCAGTAAATTAAAAGTATCTGAGCTTGTCTTAGGTAAATTGAGTCCTTTTAGTGAAATGGCAGGGGGCAAGGGGGGGGGGTGAAGAAGGACAAATGTGACAAAAACAATATATTTCACTCCAATACATCCATGACGTCGTATGTATAATTGCAACAAGTTTGAACAAGCTTGGTAAGTATTATGAAGAGGAACTCACATAAAAGCCATCAAAAGCATAGGAGAGATTGTCTGCACCAAGATCCTCATCAGACCTGGTGAGTGGTGAGCACCAGCCAACTCTCATGTTGCCTGTAGACACCACTTCAAACTCAAAGTACCACTTCCCCTTCTTCACCGCATATGTCTTCTCTCCGCGGTACGTCCTTAGTCGAGTCTTTTTGGACCCATTGGCTCCCCTCAAAAGAGCTGAAAAGCAATATAAAAAAATCAGGTCTGATAGTCAAAGTCTTTGTGGTACATGGTGCAGTGGTCAAGATGCTTGTCTTGTACATGATTGTGCATGATCGATGAACAAGTACTGTCATGTATATGTGACTGCTCACAGGAAGTTCATTCATATCAATGTTTTGAAATCTTGCATGCAAATTCTATATATTAAGAAGAGAAGCTTACCTCATACGTCAAAATATTTCTGTCTACTCCATATACAGCTAACACCTACTCTGAGTCAAAATAACACTATGTTCATGGCAAGTGATACCAATTTCTCAAGTGATATAAATTTAGCAAAGGAGCAACCCATAATTTCCTGGTTCTCGCCCAATTTTTTAATCTATAATCACAAGAAATGGACTTACATGTACCAGTGCTTTTACACTGGCTCACAAGTCTCTTATTACCTGACATGTCCCAATAAAGGACCATGAACTTTTGTCCTTGTTGTTGTAGGATGCAATTTGTTATCGAGGCCTTCTGAAGAATGTCATGGATAGCTGAATTGTATACATTTGTACTACATTGAATGTTGTACCTTGAAAAAGACTGATTCCACTGATAGATCTCTTAAAATTTAGTCTCTTTTTTTTAATTTGGTGGTATACTGGGTATATGGTTAGTTACTAGTATAATTACAAGAGAAGATTCTAGATGTAGTTGTACATTGTACATGTATATACATTATATACCACCTGCTCTACAGGGTTTGAGCTTAACTCTACGACTAATTCTGCTATCTGTAATTTCCATCCCACCTCTGATGGCTGGCTCATCAGATGTGACGGGTGGTTCAATGGAGTAGCCATAAGCCAGAAGGGTGCGGATTGCCTCATACCCTTTCTCCCTGTTGTTCTGTTTAACTGACTCTGGGAGAAGGTTGTATGGTAACAGATAGGGATGTCTCTTCAACTCCTTGTCCTGGTGAAGAGTGGGCAAGAGTTATATACATGTACACGTTGGACTAAAAATAAAAGAAATAAAAAGATTTTCTTCTATCATGTTAATTCAACACTGACATTATACAATGCACAGTAATTTTAAAGACATAACTACATGGACCCAGACAGCACCAATTGTATGGCAGTATGGATATAGCTGAATAACAGAATTCACAGTAACTGTTATAGAACTGTTACAATATTGCCCAAACTGACAGCTAAACAGGTTATTTGCATGCAGCTTGCCACAAACCCATCAAGGACAATATAATTATTTTATACACCCTAAATAAAAAGTAAAAAAAGTAAATGAAATACAGCATTACAGACTACAGAGCTCTAATCTCCCACTACTTCTCCAAAAGGTATGAAGAAAAAAACACTAACTTCAACAAGGCCATGGGTCCACTTATCACGGACTCTGTCCCTTGCCCAGATGTTATGAGTATTCTCTGCCAGTTGCTCTACCAGTTCCTTAAGCTTGTTAGTCAGGGAGATTTTGGAGGTGTCCACCGGAGCAGGTTTGTACCCATTAGCCATCATGTAGCTTGAAAAAAATTTAACTGTTACTTGTACAATCCATACATTTAACTCAGATAATATACATGTACATGAATTGTTCACTGCTTTTTAAACAAACAGTATTTTCTTAACTATAACTAGTATGACTGGGGCTAACCATACAGTCATGTACATGTAGCAATAAGCTTTACAAACAATAGCAACAACATGCACTTACATGTACTTGACAATGTGTAAAGTTAAAACTTTCGATCCAACACAAAAAGTTCTCTCACCTAGAGCTTTCAACCAGTCACTCTGGTCTTCCTCTGTCAGTAGACTGACCCAGTGAGGCTTGTCACATGGCTTCTTTGAAGTGTGACATCAACACTGAGTCAAAGGTATCTGGTAGACAATGTCGACCCCGTCACAGTTAAGTGAAGGGTGATGGGTCCTGATGTAAATAGCCTCCTTCACCCCTCTCAGGAAATAGTCTTGTTAGTCTTCACTTACATGTAACTGCGACAGGGCCAACATCGTCTACCAGAATAGATACCTTTGACCCAGTGTTGACGTCACACTTCAAAGAAGCCACATGACAAGCTTCACTGGGTCAGTCTACTGAGGAAGACCAGAGTGACTGGTTTAAAGTAAAGCTCTAGGTGAGAGAACTTTTTGTGTTGGATCGAAAGTTGTAACTTACATGACATTGTAACTACCAACACAGATGAACTTTCATGATAGAACATTTATTTGTTTATTTGTTTATTTGTTTATTTAAATTTTTCACAAAGTGAAAGGGAGGGCAAAACAGGTGCGAAGCACCTTTGCTAGTTGCCCTCCCACATACAAAAACAACAAGAATGTACATTACACAGTCAACAATCAATAATACAAGTAGGGCACAAAATATCATATAAACATAATCAAGGTAACAACAATGAATGGAAGAGATAACCATATCGGAACGATATCTAGTGAGGTCTTGAGGCAATACAAGAGCTACATCCACACGAAGTGGTCCAGGTACATGGCAGATCAAGACTGTATTGAGTGTTGAATCTGTTGTAGGCTACTTTTGCCAGTTTATGTTTAAATGCTATGATATCAGACTGATGAGCGGCTCGCACACCAGTACCACGAAGGTCAGAACCTAACTTATTCCAGATAGTTACAAGTCTGGGAATGTAGGAGTGACTGAACGCTGACGTCTTAGATCTGACAGGTGTAAGCATGTACGACCTAAGACTCCTCGTGGGTCTGGTGGGAAGTGTGATATATTTCTCTATGATTGCTCTTGATTTGACAAATAACATTATATCGCATACCTCACGCCTACATGTAAGTGGCAACAGCCCTGTTGTTGCTAGCCTTTCCTTGTAGGTAAGGTGACTAGCCTGAGGGCCCAGAATGAATATGGTTGCCCGGCGTTGAACCCCTTCAATTAGAGACATAAATTTACGAGAATGTGGCGACCACAATGGGGAGCAATAGTCAAGAATGCTTCTGACCAGTGTGGTGTATAGAGCTTTCTTAACATCAGTGTTAGCATTGAAACCAACAGTCCGTTTGATGAAGCCAATCATGGAATTCGTCTTGGCAACCATTTTCACTATGTGGCTGTCCCACTGTAAGTCTGGCTGTACAATAACCCCTAAATCATTCATGCTGTCAACAGACGATACAATGGAATCAAAAACACAATATGTATACTTACTTCTTTGGCAGTCTGAGTTTCTTGACCTTCTTGGCAGCTTCGATGTCAGCTACGCCAATATGGTAGCCAAGAGAAACAATGGCCCTATGTGGAACAAAGATAGCACTAAGCAATCTGAACTGTGAGTCTACATGCATTTAGACATCCAATCATTCCCAACCTTAATGAAAAAATTTTTTAAAAACTTAATGAAAAACTTAAAAAGCACAAATCTTCTATTGAGCACTTCAATTATAAAGACCTCATGACACGGAAAAAAGTAGGTAAGACACATATGAATAAGGAATGTACAAATGTAACATACCATATATGTAGTAGCTTGAAATTTTATCATAATGACCAAGAAACTAAATTTGTACAGCCTTCCAAAGGTGCATTTTTGCAGATGATCTGACAAGCTTCTCAATCATCAGCCACCTCAGCAAATTTTTGCATCTCAACGCATTACTTTGCATTTCTGTGCTTTTTCCAAGGTGGGGCATTGAAAACTTGAATGTTACAAGAAAATCATGTCTAATTAAAAATGTAATATAGCCAGGTAATACTATTTATGGCAACCACAATCAGATACGGTTGTATTTTGGTGTTATGGGCACTTTAATTCTACTTTTAAGTCTAAGAAAGTTTACTTTAATTCTACTTTTAAGTCTAAGAAAGTTTACTAAGTTCATTTTTAAAAACTAGCTGTGGTAAGTTTTACCAAAAGACATTCAGCGGTCTGTCTAAATACCTCAACCAACCTTACCCGAGCCTAATATGCAGTGTATATGGGTGATGAACCCTTTTTAACACCCAGGCTGGATACATTGTCTATGTGATTATGAATAGATATCATACAGTAACTCCTAAGTATTTGCAAGTTTTTTTAAACTTATAATAACTTATCATCATCATCATCATCATGTCGGGTGACTACCCCGGACCAGGGCCACTCTTCCCTTCCAGACAGCTGCTATAGCTTCAAATAGCTCATAAGTGGAGTTAAAATGTTTAAGTATTAGGGAGTGATACACCACGCAAAATATCCAAATAAATCCAGAAACATGTTAAAAGAAATTTCTATGATATACAAATTAGCAAGCTTTTTACTTGCTACCTGCTTATTTTGACTACAAATTTACCGTGCGATACGTTCCGGCAGCACGACGTAAGCAAACAAGATGGTGGTCCTATTCCGTGGAGCGCACGGTGCGCCACAAAAAAATTGGAGTTACTGTGTTTTTCCTACTTATAACGGGGGGTGCCCTAACCTCGGGCGGATTTTTTACTGATCTGCAAATTAAAGTACAACGAGTTCTCATAACAATAACAATGTTATAATAACAATGGCGCTTGAAAGAGGGTCACTGCATTGCGGTGACTTGTGCCTTGAAATAAATGACCTGTACTAAGATTTTACACAACTGCCACATACACAAGGAATAAAGCTTTACAAAACAGTAAATATGTTGGTCTCTGACTGTTTGTTTTGTAGAACACTGATCCATGAAAAACAACGTCAACACCTCTCTCATCTGCATCTCCCATGATTCCCCTGGGACAGCATTGATTGCGTGAGCCGGGTTTTCAGTGGAAACACGGACTGATTGTGTTAGATACTACTCTCCTCTCGTGAGACGAGAAGTACACACAATTGCAATTTTACTGTCCAAAGAAACCTAAAATATCATTATCACTATTCTTAGGCCACACCTATGGATTACAGATTAACGGATTCGCCCGCTTCGTTTTTTTCTGATTTCTTAGGCCACACCTATGGATTACAGATTAACGGATTCGCCCGCTTCATTTTTTTCTGATTTGCCAAAACAAATAAAAATTCAGAATCTACTGCAAAATGCTTAATATATTTTGCACTGAACAGTTGAAAACGGTCCTTTTCTTCCTACTAGTTGTTACAGTTACAAATGTATTCCATCTTTCAATGCAATGGTATCATTAAAAGTTCAAAATACATTTACAAACTTTAACGAAAACGTCTCACAGAGTTTGTCGCTTGTAATGCTGGGCTCATGAATAGTATGAATGAATTTCTTAATATCCATGTTTACATCAATGTTCTCAAAATTCATTCATCAAAACCTGACCACTCTCTGACAACTAGTGATAGAGCGCCGTGAGTTTGAGCACATGAAAAAGCATCTAATGTTAAGGCACCCCCTGGTAATTACATAGACAAATTGAATGTATCTATAGCGTTAAGAAAGGTTGATAACCCATGTACACTATTAGACCAGGAAGCGGTCGGTTGAGGTCGGTTGAGGCCAGTTGAGGTCGGTTGAGGTATTTAGTCATACAATTCTATCAGTATGCAGATAAATTCATATAAGCCAATATTATAAGCTCAAAGAAGTAAAACCCAATTACCACTCAGCAAGAACAAGTAATGGAACATTAAAAAAAGCTATTTTGCAGTTAAGGGAACTGCTGGCTAAAGAACAACACTCTTCAAGGCAAATAGTTCACTCTGCTGAAGCAAAGCCAGGGAGAAAGCCATGGGGTGTCAGCAGCAGCAGCAGGCTGAAAACATGGAAAAACACCATTTACTTGAGAGTCTCCTGAGTCAGGTGGGTTTGGGAGTACTTCTCATCGTGGGGCAACTTGGAAAAGATGATCAGAAGTGGCTCCAGCTTATTTCCCTCATCTAGTTTCTGGTGGAACAAATCAAGATGTTATTTTATGGTGGAAATGGTACGACTTACTTGAGGCTTTCCAGTATAAAATTAGTTTGAGCTGTCCTCTCATCATGGTGAAGCTTGCTGAAGTCAATAAGTCTTGGCTCTTGCTTCTTCTCCTCATCCTCAGCCTAATGATACAGAATCAGCACATCAAGGACCAAAGGAAGGACAAATGTGAAACATTCCCTTTTTACTGCACTTTGGGAAACTCGCGTACACTAGTGTTCAGGACAACATTTTCAAGAATAACATCATGATGGCATTGTCATTGTTCCAGGAGTAATACCACTAAAAACAAATACCACTGAAATTAAAAAAAAAGTATGAAGGACAGTATGGAAACAACGTGTCAAGAAAATACAAAGTACTAGGTAAGTTTGCCATCTACAATCCTGAACTTGAAACCATGGTTTAGTCTAGCTGTCAAGGTTGCACATCTGGCTGTATACTTAATTGTTGTTTCACAAAATACAAACATGGAGAAACATGGAAAAGAATTTTCCATCTGCCACTAGATGAAATTTTCCTAAAAGGCTAGAGGCATGCTAGTGACATCTATTGACTCGAGAATCATCTTAATTGCCAACATTCGCGTGAAGTACATAACATAACAGAGAGACGTTGTCTGACAACAAGCAAATGAATATCATGTGTTTTTTCGATATGCTTTGCGGCCATACAGCAATGTACAATATTCAAGTTGAAGTTGTTTGAGTGAAGCATACACACATAGATCAGCCCAAATCCTAATTATTTTTCACATACATTTTCCATCAATCTGTACACTGATACAAATGATCACACATATGGGCCTGAACCATCTAAGGAAAGTACTCACCTTCCTTCGGTTTCCACATTCAATACAGTAGTAGAATGCTATATACACAGTGCTAAGTACCAATGTCACGTGTAAGAGATACATGTACCTGTCACCATGAACATATAGTCGTCTAACGCAAGCGCTCAACCTACAAACCAACATTCCTTCCCCAGTACACAGGCTGCCCCATAAGTGACACCAGTATTGTCACAACAGATCTACAGAACAACACTAAATTTGACATTCTAGATACAACGTCCTTGATTACCTCCATGAAAAATGGAGGTATTGTTTTTGGCGTGTCTGTCTGTGTGTGTGTGTGCGTGTGTCTGTGTGTGTGTGTGTCAGCAACTTTGTAGTCAGCAGAACTTCATAACGCCTTTATGGATTGTGATGATATTTGGTATGCTGATAAGTCTTAGGAAGACGAAAGTCAAGGTCAAATATGGGCCTTCTGGTGTATGACCTTGGTACTGCAGCAGAACTTCCGGTTTTTGGATCTTTTGTTCTGAACATGCTATGGTCTTGATTTTTGGTGACAGATAGCTTTTCCTGTCAGGAATAACTGGTGTAAGTTTGGTGCCCCTAGCATCTTGTTCTGGAAATGCAGGGGACTTTCTGGCGAAATCTTTAAAAGCCAGTAAGTCCAGATAGGAACAACGTATTTTCATCATATTTGGTGTGTAGGTAGCTGAGACAGAGTTGTACATAATAAAATGCAAATTATGCAAATGAGTTATCATAAATATTTAAACCAAGTATATGCATAGTGCTGGTTGGACTGGTCGATCTTACAGAAGTCAAAATCTCCCTCTTGTGTTGGAACTGTGGCAGAAAATGTGTTGTGACATATATGATTTTAAAATTTTAGGGGAAACTTAGGTCTGTTCAAAATGACTATGAAATGTACAGGAAATAATTTGCCATTGGGAATTATTACCTAGGAGTTCTACACTCAGTCCTTATAACAAAATTGGTCTAGTCAAAGGATTTGGTTATGCTTACCTAACTAACGTTAACAACCTATCAATGTCAATATCTGATGTACACACCTAACGTTAACAACCTACCAACGTCAATATCTGATGTACACACCTAACATTAACAACCTACCAACGTCAATATCTGACGTACAAGAGATATATTATAAAAGGAGAGAAAGATATACAAGTAGATCTACCAGTTGACTGCCGATGATACATGGGGGAAACATTCTATGCTAAAAACGTTCTCAGAAAACTCTATGAACATAATGGGAGCCAGAGCTGCATGTGAGTGAATGTGTCTGCTCAGTTGGGAATCTGTACAATTTCCACATAGTCAATGTCCCAAGGGTTTCCTGGAATTTCACTACTAGTAATGTCGGTATAGATGTGTGTTAGCAAAATCCCAGAAATGTGAGACATTTCTGTGGACATTCCATGCCTGTGGATAAAATTCTTGTACAATTCTTAGAATTCTTGCAAACTGCACACAATACTGTACCATTAGGCTCCCCCCTGAGGCGTCGCCAAAATTTGATACTGTATTATATTTGACCAAGTATATAAGACTCTGAGGAAAAATCAGAGACATTGTGAATAAAATCCAAATATTGCTATGGCCCTTCAATGTTGTCTCCATTTGTTTTATGCCCACTTTATATAAAGTAATAAATACATTCATGAGACATGTGAGTAAAATTCACACAAGAAGGCAGAGTCATGAACATTTACTTACTATGCCATAACTCCAACCAGCCTCAATCTTCTTCATGCACCAGAGGTCGTGAAGGTTCTCAGTCAATTTTTCCCGTACAGACTCCACAAAGCCAGGCAGAGTGATCTGTGGAAAAACAGATAGAGTATTGAGCAATGCTCTTTTCTTATTCTTCAAAAGGCATACCTTAGACACATGGGTAAAGTTCTGTTTCATCGGTGAAGGTTAGAGGTGTCAGTAACACTAGAGAACTTGTGCAGAAATGCAGGTTTATAAGCAAGAACTATTAACTAAATTTTGCAGTAACACCCAACAAGATTCCTAGTATCAACATTGTAAAAGAAACAGAGTCAGAATTCATTGGGCCAGTTTATCTCAGAGACAAGCTGAACCCTTGCACACCAAAGTACATTTAGCTACCACCCTGAAAGTCTCCAAACACCCTACTAGTAACGTCACACAGGAAGAACAAACCTCTCTCAAAGATTTGATCACCAATCAAAACATATTGATTCTTCATGCAGACAAGGGCAGATGCACATTAACCAACCTATCCGTTGATATATGTGAACTACATGTGTACTAGAACTTTGCCTAGCTGGATGCACATACTACACCTACAAAGGACAGTTCTTCCAACAACTTCACAGTTGTGCTATGGGAATACCAGTTTCACTCATTGTTGTAAACTTGTACATGGAGAAGTTTGAAAACAAAGCGCTCATGCAGCACTTTCAATGACATTCCCCCCAGCCAACTGGTTTTGATATGTAGACAACATTTGGTGCAGGTTGAAAAAGAGGGTACATACATATGTAGCTGTTGATTTCATTTGCTCACATCAACCAGATAGATGACAACATCAAGTTCACACAGCAGGCAAGTCATGACAAATAATCCCTTTCCTTGACACCAAAACTATAGTAGTAAGAGAAAGATGGCAACTATCGTTTGAAGTATACAGGAAACCAACCCAATACCTGATCAATACCTGGCCTTCAATTTCCACCACCCTTCGGAACACAAACTAGAAGTGATTAAAACTGTATTCCATCTGGCAGACAACATCATCACTGACAAAGCCAAAACAGACGAACATATACACCTCCAAGGTGCCCTGGCTAAGTGTGGCTACCAAAACTGGACCTTCAACAAAGCTCTCAAACCTTCGGACCTAAGAAAACCCAGAAGTGCAAACCACTGACCAACAAAAACAAGGTCAACATCACTATTCTGTATGTCCAAGGAGTATCAAAAAAACTCTTGAATCAGATGGATCTTACAAAACTTCAACATTGCCACAAACTTCAAAACGCAGACAAAAACTAACAGTTTTTAAGACTACATGTACATTGTCCATGATGATAGCAGGGTGAGTGCTAACCCATTGTGCACAGACATGTTTTCTCCAAGCTTATGGTGAGTCCAAACATCAGTCCAAACGCCAGCATCCCTGGAAGCTGTACATCATCCATACTTTCGCAAGCTGGTGATTAAAGGGATCCGGACAGTTGTCTGTCAAAGCACTTAAACACCTATTTTTTAATGCTATACAAAACAGCACTCTGAAAATTAATTGCATTTGATCAATTGAATGTGAATTTTACAACATAATGAATTTTTCATTTGCCTGATACCACAAACTAAGGTCCCGTAAGTCTAAAGATACACATATTTACAGTATTTGACATCAAGACGCCTCGGCTTGAAATTATTGTGTCTCAGTCATGTTGTGCATGAGTCGACCCTCTTCAAGGTTCCCTGTCCCAGACAGCTGCTTTCCTTTGGTCCCCTGCATGGGTGGTCGTCTTAAACAGGTTTGGCTTTAATTATTTCAACCTTTTTGGGTAATAAAATTCATTGTAACTCCTCACTCATCCCAAGTGTTAGATAATAGCTGATAATCCCAACCTTTTCATCTACCCCTATATATGTACATGTATGAGAGAAATCCAATCTTACGGTTACTCACATGTGTAGTGTTGACAGGGTTAGGCACGAGTGGTTCATACTTCTCCAGGCCTTTGGAGCCATGGATGTATCCTTCATCCACCCCTGCAAAGTGGAAGAGGGGTTCTACTACCAGTGGTTCATTAGGGAGCAGAAGTTCATATATCGGAGCGTAGCCCTCCGGAGGAAGGTACTGTAAGTCGCCGTGTGGTGATCCAAACAGGAAACGGACACTAAAATAAGAGAAAAATGACTTTTGTAAAATGAATCTGTCTCTTGTATACATCATGTATGATACCATCTTTTCCAAGCCAATCACATGTAACGTTACCATTCCTCGCTAGTTACTAGTCATGTATTGATGATTGAATTTTGAAAACAAATGTTCATGTAAAGAACATGCATACTTGGATAAGAAATGCATTCATATTGTTCATAAGCCCTTCACACTCCACAAGTGGCAAACACTGTGAGACGTTCTTGTGAATGTACCTTCACAAATGAGATACAGTAGACAGTGTGCCCTAACTTCATACACATAAATTTTGTAATTTGCTCTCTTCATAAGTTGTGAATTTTATTTCAGAAAAAAAATCAAATTTTATGATATTTCAGCTTTCTTTTGACAGTAAAGTTATTGCAATTGTGTTTACTTCTCATGTCAACTGACAAGGGCTGTACAAATGTATCTGAAGCAATCCAGTCCATGTTTCAACAGAAAGCCCAAATGATACCCACGGGAAAATGCAGATGTGCAGATGACAGTGGTACTGACATAATTTCCAATGTTGGTTTTCTACTAAAGAAACACTCAAGAGACCCTAATTACCTAGAGAACCAATCAGGTGAAGGACTATTGTTAGCATAGTTTAGCTTGGAAGTGACAATCGCTCTGTTAGTCAGTTCGAGCGATTGTCACTTCCAAGCTAAACTATGCTACCAATAGTCCTTCACCTGATTGGTTACTCTCACTAGCCAATCAGGGCCTACATGTGTACCTAACTTGCTAATATATGCATATCTCTCCATAACAAGTCTCTCCAAATGGTCACTTACAGATTACCATAACTACAATGTACACCAATCATAACTGTTACAATATGCTGTATTTACTCCTGAGCAAATTTTGGTATAACTAGTTGTAAACACTTTTTCCTACAGAAAAATAATACATTTGTACGTGTAAATAGTAAGAAAGTGAGATTGACATACACTACTTTTGTAGAGCAACTAATCACTGGGAAGAAGAGACCAGGGGAGGAGTTGAAATGCTCAAACATGCCCTGCACTGGGTTTCCATTCATACGGAATGAAATACAGGGTACTGTGAGGTCCAGGCAGCAGCTGACAATGTCCCCCTTTGTCAACATGTGGGGGTCGTAGGACTGAACCCTCCTGGCACGTCCAGCTGTAACACACATGTACATGGAAGTTAGCAGGGTCAAAAGGAAACAATGGACATCATGGTATAAACCAATAAGGCCTAGGATCCCCCATTTGACTTTTTTTATACTTGTTAAGATGCCCTAATACACAATGTATTATTGGCCAATCAACACGTACTTGTAGTAGATCATTAGAATAATTGACCACCTGTTGGCATGAATCGCTACCTTTTCCTTGGTGTATATGGTGACCATATGTCAGCTGATCAACCCTTTACATTTATTATAATTACCTCCAAGACATGTTCATATTTTCATTCTGTCTGATACTCAACAAGAAATTTCAAGAACAGCTGGTTGGATTGACTTCATACTTGGTGCGTTGGTTGGGTTTGAAGAAAAACTGGAAATGATGAGACTTTGGGCCCCCAAGTGGCTTCCCTCGGTACTGCAGTGGAACTTCCGGTTTTGATATTTCGAGTTCTGAACATGCTAGGGTCACGAATTTTGGATGGTACATGCAGGTACCTCTAGTGCTCTGGAAGAAGTCACGTGAGTTTAGGCCCCCTAGCAGCTTGTTATGGAACTGCAAAACAGTTTCTTTAAAAATAGTCAAGAGAGGAAACTAAAGAACCGGTTGATCATCATGATTTTTAGTATGTAGGTAGCTGAAGTGATGCATGACATGATAATTATATTACAATTATACAAATCAGGACCTAATTTGCACAATGAATGAGGAAATTTTACTAATCTGCTATGTTCGATAATAGGGCTATAAACAGTTGTGACATATGTAAATGAGAATGACAGGAACATTGGCAGATATTGAATATGTGAGTGAAGACCTAATTTGCATAATTAATGAGAAATTGCTACAATTTTATAGTCGAAACTGCTCGGAATTCAGTACTTGCCATATTAATATTATTTGTATTTGGAAGTTCAGTGAAGGTGAACATCATTATTTTAGCTAAACATAATTTATGAAAATCAGGACCTCGTTTGCGTTATCTATGAGGAAATGCTAGAATTATAATAGCCTTATTTCTTAAGATAAGATTGTCATTGTGTGGAGAATATGATCAACTGATATAATTAATGCAAATGAGGTTTTTATAATTGTTTAATCACTGTAAAAAAATGTAATAATTAGTCAGTTTGAGCGGTAAACATGACTTGGCAAAGATATGAGGCCATGAAACTCTTCCTGTGTATGAAACCTGAAAATTAGTCTCTAACAATATCATACCTTGTCCTAGCCTGATGTCCAGCCTTGCTAACTTTAGTCCACTCCCCAAGATCTGCTCCCCGGACTAAAGCTAACAAGGCTGGACACCAGGCTAAACTTGTCCATGCCAAATGATAAGGATTTCACCAGTGTGTTGCATGTTACTAGGTAGGGGCCATGTGAATATTTTGCATAAAAATTTTGCTAATGAGCAGGATTGTAAATGTCAGCCATTTACAGGTGGTCATCACCATGCATAAGGTTCCGGGTCAGAGTTTAAATCTGAGTCTAGGTAAGTGTGCAGTGAATCTCCGGAAGCGTGACTTTGTTACATGTACCTCCATGAAAAATGGAGGTATTGTTTTTGGCCTGTCTGTGTGTGTGTGTGTGTGTGTGTGTGTGTGTGTGTGTGTGTGTGTGTGTGAATGAATGTCTATTACATTTGACAATTTTCAGGAACATAATAATAATGTCAGTGTTGCTGATGTCATGTAGTGTTTAAGTTTAGCCGTGATGAGTAGAGGGTCAAATACACAGGTGGATCCAAACATCTGACGTTAGAGAGAGTTAAGTGACAGAACCAGGGCATACCTGTCCACAGATGCATCCCATCAAAACCATAAGAATGGAAGTCATCTCCCACACCGTTACTCCCCCAACCCTCACCACCACCAGGGTATGGGGAGAAACCACTGGAGTTGGCCCAGCCGACCCTCAGGTGTGCAGGGATGGAGGTGTTCTGCTGTACCTCCTCTACAACCAGCTCATAGTACCACTTGGTGTAATGTACTCCTCCGTCTGCCAGCCCTACATACAGGTTGGGCCGTATGCTGCAGAAAATAGTATGTTGGCAATTCATGGTCATAATTATGGAATGATAAGACAATTAACAAGCCCTGCCTGAAAGTACCGCAATTATGACATCAAGACCTGCAGATTATGTTATTAAGAACTAAAAAATGTAGACTGTTTGGTTAAACATTATTCTAAAACATGTCAAGACATGGTGATGATTTGGCAAAGGATATTGATGTTGCATGAATATAACTTTCTACGTCCAAACCTAAAAGCAGTCTGAAAAGCTTCACGTTTCAGCTGGATTTGAACCCTTTGATTTCTGCCCCAGAAATTGACACAAGTTACATGTACCTAGGCTGTAAGATTTTTGGAATTCCTGACAGCATGTACATTACATGTATGAGCTTTTAAAATCAAAGGGACGAGGCAAAGGCAATTTGCAGGGACAAGTATTGGCCACCTTACAAGAACTTGTACCCCATAAATGTATACTGGTTGCTTGTATCATTATTAAGTATACATTCATGCCTTGAATTATTGTTGTTTTACCTGGTGACGTGATCGAGCAGTTTGGTTTGCAACAGGATATCCCTGCTGGGCAGCAGGTTGTCCACAATCAGGTTCTGGTTGGACCTGACAGCCACTCCATTGCACACACACAGGGAACACAACACATCCAGAACCTACATGGGCAACATGGATCATCATATTATATCATATCATAGTCAACACACAATTCCAAGTTCTCAGGTCTGGATCTTATCTAATTGACACCAAAAATATGTTTATCTATGTTTTAATCTCTTGTATGCCATAAAAAAGTCAACAATATTACCAATGAGATGTATTTTGAAATAAAACATGGAAAAAATTAACCTGAAAAAGAGGAGGAAAGGGGATTCAGGCAAATGAACTACATGTACTTAAAATACAGGACAGAGGTTTATAATACAATGTACCAAACATGGAGTTGAGTTTTCTTTTCAAATTGCACTTTGCCTATTTTTCTAAGATAGTAGAACATGTACATATATATAAATGTATATACATGTAGGCTAACGTTATAACCATGTACAGTAAAAAGGCTTGTTGGACTCACCTTGTGATTTCTACCATGCTTCTCAATGAGAGAGATGATGACTTTGATGTGCTGTTCTTTGACCATGTTCAGAGCATCAGGACTCTCAATTAGCACACAATGTAGCACATCCAGAATACCAGTGGAGGCAGATTGACTTTCCAGCTTGCTCACCAACCAGCCCAAGGACTTAGCAAACTTGGTACAGTTGCTCCTGTTTCCCCGGATCATGCAAGCTGAAGATAATCAAACACAAACATGATCAACATACTGCAGTAACATGTTACAAAGGTCTCAATATCATAGTGGCATTATTACAAATGTAAGCTGGCAAGGTGTTGTTGACCTGGACTCCAAATTTTCTGAGTTCCAATCCCTGGCAGGCCCCATTGTTGTGCTATTGGAAAAGACACCTTACACTACAAGTCATGTATTTCCACACTCGACTCACGTAAAAATAAGTCCTTAGCTTCAGTATACACACTTTGACTATAATTTGGGAGACAAGTCTAGGCAAACTAGTGGGATGGGTATGGTGCTTACAAGTTACAACTATACATGTTCATGTATAGTTATATCAATGTAAAGAATTGTTTTCCCTTGTATTTGTCCTTCTTTCCCTGCCATGTCATGAAATGTGGTGAAGCCATCACTACATTTGCTCCAAAGCAAATGTCGGCCTTTCTAGTTTGACCATAAGATAACTTATTTGTGGCCCAGGGAACAAGAAATCACTTAAATAGCCATAACATGACCTATACGCTAAGTAAACAAACATGGCAACTGGCCAGGTTTTGTCGCCTTCGTCGATAGTTGCAGATGCATATTGATTTCTTGTTTTCTGGGCCGCGTACAAGTCATCTCATGTCAAAATACAGAAAACTGCAATTATGTTAAAGTATAGATGAACTTTTTATTTCGGTGCATTTATTTCCACTTCTCTTCTGTGATCATGCTAAACAAACATTTGTGTTACACTACGTAACGTTAAAGTTAAACAAACCGGGTCGCCTCCGCCGATTCATTATTGTGATTTCTTGTTCCCTGGGCCACAAGTAAGTTATCTTATGATCAAAATACAGCGACTTGGGGTTTTAACTCATCAATGCAGGGTGTATTTAAGCCTCCTATATGTATATTACGGTGTATTCCTGTGCATTTCGGTGTATGCCAGTAAATAGGTAGACCGGCACTTAGCAAGCAGACTTCCCTTTAAGCGTTTTGGTATGAAAACTGCCTCATTTTCTCACCACAAAATCACAGTATAGACTATCCCCTTCCCAGATATCCAACAAGTACAAGACTTAGTGCAGCCTTACCCAGTAATTGATACAAAGAGTCCACAATTCCTTCATAAGCCAGTCCTGCCTGCTCTCCAGCCACTTGGGCAAATAAACGAGCACTCTTGAACTCTGACAGCTTGTCAATGACATTACACACCATCTCTATCATGCCCTGTAAAATTCAAACATCATTGAGAAGGAAGTACTGAAATGAAATGAAAATACTGAAAAACATACATATGGTAGGAGACATGACTCACAAATTGTCCCTTAAGTTTGGTATTGCAAAAGTTCTAGAATTCTACAGTAGTTCTCTACAATACTACTGTAACAGTACAACCTGAACTTTCTGCTAACATGCTGTTTTCTCTAAGCCTGGGTGCCATCCTATTTGTGTACCAGGGCTCCCGTACTTGCTCCACATTCTTGTGAGAATGGGAGCCACTGCAAATGTAGGATGGCACCTAGGCAAGGTTCCTAGATGTTACTACAGAATGATGTTGTTGAATGTTGTGTCTTTTAACACTACTGCCATACAAATGTACATGCATTCTACCTTTTCTTCACTTTTGTTCATGCATTTTTCAACAGGAGTCTACGCTGGTTGGCTAACACAAACAGATGACACAAGATTATGAAAATCTGCTAAATAAGAAATTCATAATAAAAGCAGCCTGTCCATGGAAGCATAATATTGTTTGTACATATTGTGACAAAAACTTTCAATTTCATGATGATATACACATGTACCTCCTCCTGAAACAAGTCCTGACGGTTTCTCACAGTCTTCAACTTCAACTGCTTCTCTTCATGGGCTACAAAACAAGAATACACAAAATTATCTGTAATGATGATAAACCCACATTTTGTGCACACCCCATGTGACCAGATATCTGAAATACCATGGAGTTAGAAGGAGCCCCTATATAAACCTCCTTGGAAATACCAAAGGATCTTCTTTCCATTTCTTTTCTGTCAACAAGTATCCTTCAAGGGAGGGAAAGATAACTTTAGACAGTTCATTCCCAAAAAAAAATACAGCAAAAATGATACAGACTGGTTTTCTGAACACCTCTTTAGAGTTCAGCTAACTCTGTATAAATTTTGTACCCTAAGATCTTATAGGGCATTACATGTTATTTTCACAAAAAATTGAAATATTCTAATTACATTGTATAACCAATCTCAATGTTAGCAACATTTACTACTGTAAACAGGTAACCACTTTTCAACATATTTTCAGCATTATTTGACATTTTTAAAGAATGTTGTCAGTCCACTTGATACATACTAAGCTTATGGTGACACAAGTTGGACACCGCTGGAATCAAAACAAACCAGTCAAAACGCAGGTCACCCTATAGCTAGAACATGTTACTAGTATTCTCTGAAATAGGGCATATGCCGGGGCAGGTTTTGACCCCATTCCATGGTGTAACTAGTACTAACTACCTACAATGCAATACGTATACATTGTAAATGCGACTACCACATGCAGTATAATAAGGGACACGATAAAAGTCAAGTGTATACTTTATGTTTTTGCCAGACTGAATTCCATTTAACCGAGAATCACGAACTTCAAGAAACAAAAGAAAATGAAAGATTTGACAACAGATGAGATTAGACATCATGTCACACATTGCAAACTATGCCATAAGTTACATGTATTTGTCTAATATCTGTGTCATTTATACTTGCATACTTTCATTTTCTGCTGGCTGAGCAAAGTACTTGATGAGATCGGCAATAACAGCCATGATTGCGTCCACTTCCAGCTTCATCTTCTGCCCCTTGGACAGGACGGACAGGTAAGCCAGGTCACTGCAACATCCAATACAAACTGTCAAGAACTGTTCTCAAGACATCATGATATACTGTACTTGAACACTGTCTTTTTCTCTTAAATGCATATACAAAGTCCCTTTTAAGTTTGACTTAAGACAATCAACACACAAATATCTAAAGTATATATAATAATTGTTATGATTATCTTTATATTTGGACATCATAACATTTCATATGTGAATGTCCTATCCTTTGGCATTTTATTTCTACATTTGTCATTTCATCATTGCCTTCATCTGAAGGGTATGTTTTCAGTTTGGGCTTGGAAAGGCTGTGGTTTGGGTCTGTATGTATGTCAATGATATTGATATTTGGTATGTGAGTAGCTGTTATGGATATGGTGGTCAAGTTAAAAACGATCCACCTAGCTTTTTCCAACGGTGCTGCCGTGGGCTTTTTATGCATTTGTTGATTGTATGTGTTCAGAATAATTCAAATGGCTGTGAATGGAACTTAATGGTATTTAGTAGGTGAGAAGCCGTTATGGAAACAAAGTTCAAGTTTGGAAATGGTTATCCTGTCATGCTCCTATGTTGCTGCAAAGGAGTGTGTTTTTTGTGTTTTTGTTTGTGTACAATATAACTCAAGAAGCAGTGGATGGTTGTTATTGAAATCTAGTGGATAGATAGTGACAGCAAAAAATGAAGGTCAAGTTCCATAATGGGCCTCCTACATGTAGTGGCTAGTTAAGGCATTCCAGCCTAACATCAAAGCGTAAGGTAAAATTTTCTGCAAGTGTCAGGTCAACGTCAGGTTAATGATTTTTGCCCGGCCCAAAGGCCAGGTATAGAGTCCGGTTTAATTCGTACGTTGTAATGGTGGACAGTTACGTAGTACTACGTACGTTCCTTGTTTGGTTGGTACGTTAAACCATTTCAGAAGCCCTTTATACGCCATGCCATGCCTTACTGTTTGTGGTCTTAAATGAAGAAAGCACTTAAGATTGGTGTGGTGTTGAATACATACATAGTAAACTTGTCAAAGATGCTTGTTGACTTCCTGACAATCCTGGCAGCCTGTGCCTCCTCAGGCAGGGCCCTCTGCAGGGACATGCTGTCATCCATGTGGCCCTCCAGGGACACAATGGCCCTCCTGGTAGCCACAAGTTGAGTCCTCTTCCCACTAGCTGCCTGTGAGACATAGATACAAACAGTACTGGATTGTGTGTACTGTGTATGAAGTATTTCAAAGTTGTTAAACTAAGTTAAACATTATCAAACATCATCCTACAAGTCCATGTATACACGTATTGTACAGAATTTAAGATAAAGTACATGTACCACTATCGTAAACTTAAGGGAATGGCTACTGACAGGATCATCCTGTCAATAGTAGAAACTTTGTGCTATTATTGTACGTTTTTCCTATTATTAACAGGATGGACCAGTTGACTTGTTTAGACCAACAAAGCTATAACCTTGGTTTTGCCGGCACGGTAGTTGTATTAAATTTTTCAGGTCTAGCTGGTGTGTTATGCCGAAAGGCGGATATACCGGCTTTACAGATACAGATACAGATAGGTCTTCATTTTCACAACAGTTTTACACGAAAACGTTAAAGAAAATAAATGAAACGCAGAGAACAATTTCTTTTCATTTGGTCAGAAAATATATATATGGATTGAGTTAGATTTCCAACTGAAAAAGAATCTGTGGATTATTTTGATTTTTCTAATGTAGCTGACATTTCTCACGTAAATCATAAAAGATCGACATACAATTTGTCATGCATTGCAGCCATCTCTGTCAGCTTAATTTGTGCCATAAATCAGGTTGTTTGATAAATTATTAAGTTCTCATGAATATTCCGTGTACATGGGAGCTCAAAAAAAGGGATACTGCAGAACACGTTTCTCCTCTTAATTTTGTAACAATATTTACAATTGCTCACAATTGCTCACAATTATTCCATTGCATTAAATTTAAAGCCATGCTCACCATAGTCCAGATTACAGACCTACCTGGTAAGATAGCCAGTATCCTGTGTCCACATGCTGGATAAAGACAAGAGATTCTCCATACTTGATCTGGGGTGTGCCCATTCCCATAATCCTCTTGTCCCATGTTTTCTTGTCATCCTAGAGTGAAAAAAATCATCATCAGCTTCATGTGCAGAACTTCAACCACCACAATGGAAGGACGTTTTTGGTACCTTGTGGGATAACTGCAAGACATGTCATGAGATGCCAAAGCTACAGTTTCTAACATCTAAAGCACTGGCCATGGTGCTGAACAAAGTGCTGCAGTTATTTCCATTGATACATAATGCTGATGAGTTCAATTTCCTTCATAACAATTTCTTAAACAAAGTATAGACGAAAGCATGTTTTTTTATACAATTTCTTAAACAAAGTGTAGACAAAATCATGTTTTTTATACAAACTCTAAAACGAGAAACAGAAATAAGTTACTGGTCTAATAATCAAATTGAGCCATTCCATATTCATCTTACCTTTGTCCTCTTCATACAAAACGAGCTGGACTTAGCATCACACTGATCCTTTGGTACTATGACGACTAAACGATTGTCTTTGATGGTCAGGTACTTTCCTAAAATGGGGAAACATAGCATCACTTAATTGACTATATTAACTGATCATCTGATTGTTTCTTAATTTCCATTCATTTAATACACAAAGATGTGTTAGCAGTCAGCATCATTATTAAATGAAAGATACATCGATGTATTTCATTTCACCTCAAAAAGTAAAATCAGGTCAAACTAGAAAGGCAGATATTTGCTCGGGAGCAAATGCAGCAAATGGGTTCACCACATCCCCCATACCAAAAATGGAAACAGAAGGGACACCTCTCATGAAAATTACTTTTCAATACAAAAAAAATTGTTTAAAAAGTTTTTAAAAATTGCCCCCCTAATGCACAAATGGACTCTTGCAGTGACCTCTATGTTATGTTATAACTCTTCCAATGAGTTCTATGTTATGTTATGGATCAGTCTAAAATTACATCCTCACATAATATGTACTTTTCATAATCACCCCCTTTTCCGAAAAATGTCCCCTTTCAAGAATTGGCTGTCCAGAGACCCCATGGTACTTTATAGTCCAGGATACAAACATTTCCATACAAGATATGGACTTTATCATAATAACACTATTCCAAAATTGAATTTAAAAAAGTGTCCCCCTATTCAATAAATTGTGCTAAGTTTACTGCCAACTATTACATCATCCATTTCTAACTGAAACAACTTTGCCCATTTTTGGTGTGTTGACCACTGTCAGCAGTAAACAAAATTTCTTTTTCAACACAGATTTTGTCAGAAAATGGCAAAAAAACAAGTGTCCATAGGCGACAATTCTCCGTGAAGTTTTAGTTTATTTTGCAATGGTCAACAACACGACAATCTAAACAGATCTTTCATAACAATATCTTTCATTTACTACATATTATTTATTTGATAAGGTATCGTAGTAGGAGCAAATCAGTACACAATCACAGTCACCAACAAGTCACAATCCAAACAGATACTCGCAAATGATTATACACAACAACCACCTAATATCTGCTTACAAAACCGCGCCTACAACACAGCTACTTAAGCTACGGCCTATTCCACAGGATTATAGAAATAGGGGTGTTTCTGAAATATGAATTTACCTCAATATAAAAACAGCTACAGTAAAAAGAAAACAATGTGCATCATCACGGACATAACGGCACACCACATGCCTGCTTACAAAGAAATATAGCGAGGACAACAACGACTTTTCACTGCGAACAAATTGGAGAACGGCGCACCATTTCGACTACATGCGACAAAACAGCTGTTTTTAATCACCGACCAAAATCCGTATCTGCCTGAAGGAAATGCAACCCCTCCCCTGCTATTAATTTTTTGCGGGCGGTCCCACGTGCCTCTTAAATTTAGGGGTACTGTTGAAATATTACATTGACCACAAAAACGGCTACGGGTAAAAATAAAAATATGTGCATCATCGAGGGCATATCTGCAGACGAAGTATAAACTCACATGCCGATTAAACAAAGGGAACCCTGTGGTTTAGCTGCGAACACGAAAAAACGACTGCCCACAATACTCCTGCAGGAGGTATACCTCCTTCATGGAGTAACAACAAAACGATTGTACAAGCCTGTATCAAAACAATGAAGAAAACAACTGGGGGCATTTGTCCACTGTACCACCATGCTAAATTTCAGGTTGTTTGGCCCGAAAAATGAAGAAATTGAATCCATGTAAAGAAATGGCAGGAGAAGGAGAATAAGAAACATGAGAAAAAACAAAATGTCTTTACCACACCACTATGTGGTGTTGGTGAAGCCTTCACTATGTATCAACAAGGCTAAGGAATGAGAAATTCAATCTAATCAATATACATTACAGTAATTGACGACAGTTAGAGTTGAAAGATTTCCTTCCAAACACTAGTCTGTGATGCTGTACTCCTACTGGGTAAAATGACAGTCTGTAACCTCATAACTGCACTTCCAGAAACATCACCATACCTGAGGTTACATGACGTAGCCTGAATTGCTGACCCCAGTCAATATGTTGGGAGCTCCATCTGTGGTAAAAAAATGTTGTTAAAGAATGAACTTTTCAATGCATATCATTGTTCATGTAATATACATGTATATATAACGTTAACATTATATATATAGATGAGCCAAGAAATTAGAGCATCGGAGAAGGTTAGACATCTAGGTAATAAGACATAACGTTATACGTCATAAAACAGTTACTCAAGCACCTGGATATGATTTTGGAAACAGTCAGACGTTTCTGGTAGCATCCACTATCTAATTCTTCAGTGACACTAACCTGTGTTAGAGACACCACCTACAACATAAGCAGGGACGCTCTTTCAAACTCCAATCAATGGATATCTTAGACCGCGAAACACGCTGGTGGGAACAGGGAGTTAAAGAGGCAATTTACTGTATGAAAGAATGCACAACCCCACAACATATCCAGTTGCTTGAGTAACTGTTTTTTTGGGGGCAAAGAATTAGAACTTACTTGGTCCTCAAAAGCTCTATCCTCCACAGTGACCTTGCATGGTCTATAACTTCCCCAAGTTCATAGTGCACTGGCCTGTACAGTCATTCAAGATGTTATCAGTTTGAACAAGGACAAAGGTACTATCAAACAGCCACACAATGATGATAGGTTCTGCTTGATTTGATTTATTATTAAAATGACTTAAAATCACTAAATTACAAAAAAATTACATCCCAATGTACAACGTACAATGCATAGCTATACAGTAGGTATGAATCATAAACTTGTACTTTTTTTAAGGAAATCAATATAAGGAAACCCTATTGCCATACATGTACCTTGCATCGTCCTCGTCTTTCCCCACAACTAGAGGCACTGTCATACACTCATCCATCCTCAGAAACCTTAACACGTCTCCACCACCCAAGAAGCCTGCCAGAAAAATGCAATTTTTGATTGAGCACATTTGACATGGAAAAGGAATGTCCCTATCTTTTTATGTGCATGAGTCAAGTAATGCCAATCTGATAAAAGAATCAGTTCATTCTGCAACAAGTCAATATTAAAGCTTACCTCTGACACTTATGCTAAACATGTTACATTTTCTCTCTAGTCCTGCTGATATAGCAATATTGCAATTTGAAAACACTTGGTCGTGTTGCGTGGACCAACCGGATTTTTGGAGGGGGGGAACCTTTATTCATCCTGGGGGAACCCGTCATAATAATCTTGCTGCTAATTACATGTACATTGTACGTTAGTTTATACAACAAGATGATTTCTACTGGCTGCTGATGTGGGACTACCAAAGGAGTATCTGGCGGGCGCCATGACGGACAAAGTGGACTGGAGGGAGAGGGTCTGGGACTGGGAACTCACGACCTGATGATGATACAACAAGAAACTGCTCCTTGGCTCTCTTGGCTTGAATAAAGTTCTCAAGATATAAACCTGTCTTATAGCAACAAACCACCACACAGTGACATGTAGTAGTGCTTTGGAAACTCACATCAGCAGGACGTCACCTGAAGTGACAGTCTGAACTTCCCTCAAGCCGGACCAATATCGGGGGTCATTTGGATGTCAACAGTATGGTGTAGTTATTGCAATCATCAATTTGTAGTATAACTTTCAGTAACTTATAGAGTGCACTCTTTCCATACATTAAGCAACGTAACATTTACCCGATTTGTGTTGAAATTGAGAGGTAATGTCACAAACATTACTGCTGGAAAAACTGACCACCGACCCAAACTTCTCCCACCTTGATTATGTTTGTGAAGCAGAACTCCAGTCTGAAGCTCTGTGGAAGGTGTCTGATAGACACGAAATGGTAATTAAGGTGAGAGAAGTTTGGGCTGTGTAAAAAGAAAATACCTACATGTATATCCTTTGTTTTACCAACCTCATGAAACTATTTTTGCAAACATATGACGTGACTGTCTGGATTCTCTGTCTCTCTCTCTTTTTTTGGATGCATGACTTCGCTACAATGGAGATTTTCGGACACAAGCTTGAAAGGAAATATTTTAGGCTTGATGGTACATTTGTAAACAATTTAATTTTGCAAAATAATTTATCAAAAGGCATGCATGCGGAACTTTCCACATGCCGTTGCCACATGTTAGTGAGCAAGTCAAGACAGGTATTTCATGTGCTGAGCTGCAAACTGTGACAGAAGTTTTGGGGACTGTATACATGTATGTCAATGGTACATGGCAATATAACGTTATATTATGTGTAGTATAAACTTTGCTGTTACTATTGTGAGACTTAAAAAGATAAAAATTGCTGATTTAGCAACAGGAAAATTTGATAATTAAAAAACAGTAAGTAGTTGTACAGCATGTTGCCCGCCAGTTGTTGACCGCCCTCCTGTGCCGTGCTGCATGGAGTGTCGGGCGACCTCTCATGCACTAGTACATGTACACGTGTATTTTTCTCTTATTCCAATTTACAAATTCCTTATCAATTTCCTTTGAACAAATATATATAGGTATGCAATGAATTAGGGTGAGCAGATGAGACAGTCAAATCAATTGATACTTTCTTTGACATATACATGTAAGAGCTAAGGTACAGCAAAAATCATCATCAATATTGTAAACATACATGATTTTTTTTTGAGAGGGGTGAAGAAAGCCATATACATCAGGGCCCATCAACCTTCATTGAACCGCGACAGGGGCCGACATCGTCTACCAGATACCTTTGACCCAGTGTTGACGTCACACTTCAAAGAAGCCACATGACAAGCTTCACTGGGTCAGTCTACTGAGGAAGACCAGAGTGACTGGTCGAAAACTCTAGGTGAGAGATTTCTTTGTGTTGGATCAAAAGTTTTAACTTTACACATACATGATTGTAGTTGCCCAGTTGACTATTTTGTATTGGCAATAAATCATTTCAGAGATTCCTTTACAAACTCATACTGACACATACTGTATGTAGGACAGCCTTCCTTTCAGTAAAATGGAAGTGAGTAATGATTGGCAAACCTACCTTGTGCTGGGTCAGCTCCAGCACTGGCAGGTACAACTGACCACAAGGTGGGCTGGAATGCTGCTTGGACACCAAAGCCGCCATTGAAGGTAACATGCTGGTGGGCAACAGAAAACTTGTGTAAGACTGTTACAATCAACCAACTTATATGGATTCAGTCAACTCAAATGTACATGATGTAACGTTACATGAAGACACCCAATATTATGCAAAATACCAATATTGTGGTCTATTCTGCTCATGACAGCGAAGTAAGCAAAAAAAGGAATGGAATTCAATTAAGTTTATCTTAACAGTTCATCTGTGTTGGTAGACGTCATATGCAGGACATTTAAACTGGAATTTCCAACACAGTACAAGAAATTTTCGACTGTAGAACTCCAGTCTTTGTCAAGGAATAAGCAATCCACCGCTTCCGTGACGTTACGTTACGCAGATGACACACGTAACTCGGCCAGCAGTGGATCGTAAGTTGCAGAAAGTCTGTGCCTCTCCCGACTTTGCTGAGGGAAGGATGCAATGCCAGGATGTACATGGCCTCTTTAATACCTCGTGCAAAAATGTCTGGTTTGGAGTCTAAGATTCTTACTTTGTTCAATGAGACCATGGAGGTAGAAAAAGCCTCCATGATGAGATCGAGTGTCCAGGCGCTTCTACATGAATATGTTGTGAGGTACGATGTAGTCGAACTAGGCTGTTTTTGTTCTAAGAACCTAGCCGTGAGTGATCTTTAAGCAAAGATGGAAGAAGCACAGACTTTCTGCAACTTACGATCCACTGCTGACCGTGTTCCGTGTGTCATGTGCATAACGTGACGTGAGTTGTACACTACAGTCAGTTGAAAATTTGTGTAAGTTCAATTCCTTGTGTTGGAAATAACAGTTTAAATTTCCTACCTAATCAACAAAATTTTGGGCAGGTTGGTGGAAAACCCTGTCCAGTCTGGACTGGTCTATGCATGGTTGTAGAACTTGGAACACACTCACTCACTCACTCACTGCACCAATAAATTCAAGAAGCGATTATGGCAAGCATGAAAGGCAAGGTCCTATAGCTACAGGTCAACAAGACTAAGATATCAGGCAGGGTGTGAATAAACTGAGGGACACTGGGTCATTTCCCTGTGCTGTAAGTCATTCCAGTGTTGAGTCAATTCCATCCTCTGCACACGTATGTGATTTCTGGGTCCACAAGAAACGCTGTGGAATAAGTGGTCTGCCATTCAGATGTTACAATACGGCAGACGTACAGGTTAATTAAAAAATTATATATTCTATAGCACACATAATAGCAGATAGGAAGTAATTACGAGGTGGTCAGTCCTCGTTTTCCTGACCAAAGGTAATGTATAGAATGATTGACTAACACCATACTCCTCTCCTTCACCCTAAACGGCAAGTAGACACTAGATTATGACCAGTACTTACCAGATACCTCTCTGAGGACACACTCATAAGAATGAGGTCATCTCCAACCCTGACCTTCTCCCCTTCAGACCTTTGTTTGGAGGCAGGTTTGATGATCCACCAGCATGCCTCACCTGCAGTAATATCAACATACATTTTTGTACACTAAGCAGTGTATTCAGACTCCAGACAGCACAAGATTACATGATACTCGGCTACCCTACCTGTTAAAAAAACCCTGTAGCCACTACTGCCAAAAAAGGGGATGAAAAGACCATCAAGGCAACCGAAAGCGGATATATTTGGGCGCATGCAGTTGTAAACAACGCCGTCATTTTGTTTCTTAGTGGTGGGGTGGTTTCGCTTTCACCGAGGGAGAGCTGTATCTAAGGAAAAAGTGGCGTAATAGAAAATATGACACATGTTTGGGACCGAAAAATAGTATTGCAAACTTATAGTGTTATTAAGTTTGTATGGAGTGCTGAAATAGTCACAGTCATGGTTCTTACAATGTACGTATGCCGGAGTTCGGACCCCCTTTTGTTGTTGGAACGTTCCACGAGAACGCAAAGCAAAAACCTGCCGTGACTCTCACGTGCTGTCGGAACGCTACCGTGAAATGAAATATACGTCTGTAGAGCTTTAATCATGGATATATTGCTGTTTCAAGATCTACCCTTATTTTTGATGGGTTACGGGTCAGATGTACAGTAACAAAATATGTGCGTCAACACATAGAACAGTTGCCGGACTTACAATGTAGGACCCCTCCTGTTAGTATTTAGCAATGATCATTTACTACTACTAAATTTAGCAATTCTACCCGGGCCCTGCTGACACAAAGACGCCGTGACCGAGCCGTGAGAACACCGGGAGGTACCCCGCCGGTAGCCGCCAACCCATCGGGACTAATTTGCTACGTCCTCTGCATCTTCTGCGTGGGTTATTGTTGTCTGTAAGACACGCACAGTCCTCTCCGAGAAAGTACTAAGTGAATGTAAATGATCCGAGCAGCGTTTGTTTATATACACTCGAAAAAAGAGGAGTGCCCACCAAGACCCTTCATAATGCCTGACCGTAGTTCGTGGGCATGCGGCAGGGACCCTACATGTGCCCCACCGGGATGTGAGAAGCACGCGCTACCCTGTCTGAGCATCTGCCGGGTACCTGCCGGAGGCCGACCAATGAGGGAGCCCCCAGGACCCCTGCAGGGCAGCGTGAAGGGCAACTTTCAATTGTGACCACGTCAGCCGGTGACCGGCAGACCACAGAGCCTGGTCAGGACCGGCAAGGGCTACAGCCTAGGCGGGCACCGGTGCAATTGGGACCGAAGCTTTACCGGGGTACATGTATCGTTAAGTACATTTTGTACTGGTTAGTAAATGGTTCGGATATACATGTCAATGGTTGGCTGGTAAACCTAAATCTGGTCAGACTGCTCTTGACATTGGTGGCGGGGGTAAGGTCAGGGGCATGTGCTTAGTCCTGGGCGGGTGAAATATTGTTTTAAAGCAAAATTGGACAAAAAGCAAAATCTGATATGAACACAAATTTAATCACAATTTCCTATGAAATCCCTTTCATAATATAATGGTACATTCATGGTGAAAAGTAAATGTACTTCAATATCAAGGAGCCACATGTCCAATTATATCTCAGACAGAAGATACATTTAAGTATGGGATAAACCTTACCTTGGGAACCTTCCTGTAATCCCACATCAAAGGCTAGCTTATCCTTAGAGGAGCTGGTAGACAGACAAGACAGGTACTGAAGGAAGAAAAAAAAGGGAAAATTTCAGTAGAAATAGATAGCAATCATATAGAGCAGACCTCTGGAAGAAAACAAATTTAAAACTAGAAAGGTAACATTTGCAAGCAAATGCAATATGTTTACCTCAGGATGGTCTTGCCTACGATTTAGCGTTATACCTTTATTGGGAAAGGATGGGTAGAAGAATATTTTGCTTATATTACTGACTTTTATGTACTGTTATTATAGAGTAACATTAACGTTATAACTGGGGAATTTCAATGTTTTTGCCGTTGTAAGGCCAAGTTTAAAATCTGCCGGTCACTTTAATCAATGACATTCTCTGCAGACTGCAAGTAAACTTCAAGTCTTTTTGACAGCTTTAATTACAAAGGACATTGTTGAGCTCGTCTCATCCTTATTACATTTTTGTAAATAGGAAACAGGACGTAGGCTGAAATAATGATAATAAGTTTATTATTATTAGTAATATTACAAATACATGGCAGAAGGCTCATAGTAAGAGCGTATATCATATACATATAATGAAATGATATACAATGATATGAAGAACTAATTCCTACAGTACACTTTAGTCTTTATACTACAGTACATAAGATATATATCAAGCCAGTTTTGTTGGGTTTTACTTGTTCTTTTGATCGCCGAGCCAGTAAATTATACCCACTTCTATAATAAGTGTTCTTTGAACTTTTATATGAAAATCATTGCAATGATGATGAAAATCTACAGTTGTGTAAAATATTGGAACTACACACTCTATAAAACCATACATACATACTTAAAAAGCTATACATGACTTACATATATTATGCAACTTAACATACATATTTACTGGCTAAATTGGAGATATAATGTGTTTCTAGAAATGGTTGTGATGTGTTGTATCCTTCTGTGGATGGCTGGGTTCAGCTCTGTTGGGTTCCTCTCCAGTTTCTCATGGACCAAGTTCTGCTTCCTTTCCTAGCAGAGGTCCAATCTTAAGAGGATACAAAAGGAGAGTAAACATTTCAAAAGTGAGCAGAAACTGATAATATATGTCTAAGTCATTGAACCACAAAAGGAAAGCATAATACATATGTATATAACGTATAACTATATCAGGCGGGGTCCAAGAGGGTATATAATATATGTCAAAGGGGGTATGATATATATTCAAATTTTACAGCAGACCAATTTGTTAATACAGAGAACACTGTTGTCTGTATGCAATTGAAGAATAACAACGCAAGCATAAGACTCAAGTTACAAATTTAGTGAAACCAGACGTTCACATATTTCTTCATATACATTGAAGCCCCAACACTATTTATTCTTCTGTCAAATTCCTATAGGCAATTATCCTTATTATGAGAGATAACTTCACAGGATATGCATCATCGGGATGTGGAATTTTTCGGGATAGGCGTCCCAATAAATCCCGCGAGATATCCGCGTCTCCTGCGGAGCGAAAAAACTTGATGCGAGATCTCCAAGTCTACTGCGGGTCCTATCACGGATGACGGCGTCGAAATGTCCTGCTTCCGGCCAATGGAGCACCCTGACGTCAGTCAACTTTGCCATAATTGTGTATATTGTGTATAACGCGTTCCTCAAGCGGTCATAGTTGAACTGCTTAAATTTTTACAAAGCTTTTGTGCAGCGAAAAACTCACAAAAACTGTAAGAAAATGAATGAATTTGTAGTAACCCCTTCGTCTCCAGTGAATTTTTCGGCAAGTTTATAAACAATCAATCTGTCAAGTTTATAAAGTTAAACCATCAAATAAAATGGGGCGTACCGGCTGGAGTTGTTGTGTTTCATTGTGACATCTCGTGAGCGTCAAGTAGTCTCTGTATTACGAAAATTAGGAAAGTTTGCCCATCAAAATCCCGGGGCGTGCGTCTCACCCCTCCCCAAACACGTACACATAAATAAACCCTTGCGTCAACAACCGATCCGGCTACGTCCATTCACGTACGTATTACCCTGAAAGCAAGTACTTCCACGCGGCTGGTAAAAATTCTTCTGGTGGAAAAAGCATTCTAGTTCTCGATATCTTGTGAAAAACGTTTTGGAATGAAATCGGGATGAGAAAAATAGAATGCCGCGTGCAGGACTGAGGCGGAAAATCGCTACAATCGTGAGGCGGCCTCTAGTCTTTGGGGCGGGGCGGAGCACCGAGCCTTTGAGTTTGAAATCTTACCGCCCAGCCAGTGGGCGGGTCCCCGTCTGTGCACTATGATTGGGTGCCCGCGGTCTGCTAGCTATCCTGCGTGCCGTTTCTATGGCAACGTTGCCCAGTCACAGTAACACGAAATCAATTCTTGATCGTCGGAAACAAAGCCAAGGGCGTAAAGAACCTTTGAATTATGCTTCGCCCCCCTCTTTTTGTATAATGTTTAATCTTTCTTCCGCAACTCCGTGCGTCGACCTCCCATATCTAGGAGAAGAACTTCTCGAGTGGCTGTGTTAGATTTTATATCTGAGATAGCGCGGGTCGGGTGACATCAAAAGCAGTACTTAGCGGGCCGTCCACATCGCAAGGTCAGACAAAAATTCTCGTACCAAGACGGTTGTATTATTTTGTTATCGTTCTAAACACT